ATCCAGAGTCCCTACTTGTGACCTTGGCCAGTGCTTCTATAACAGAGTATCTCTTATAAAACCTTTTACCGAGGCATTAACAGAATTATAATAATTAAAAAGTTTATCAAAATAACACATAATTTAATACAAATGTTCTGTTTATATATGTAATGTGTTAAATGTAAGAGTGAAATGAGACATGTCAATGTAAAATGACACATGGTAAGTGAAAAATGATGTATGTAAAATGAGACATGGCAATGTAAAATGACACATCAAGTGAAAAATGACACATGGTAAGTGAAAAATGATGTATGTGAAATGACACATGGCAATGTAAAATGACACATCAACAGTAAAATGACACATGGCAAGTGAAAAATGATGTATGTGAAATGAGACATGTCAATGTACAATGACACATGGTAAGTGAAAAATGATGTATGTGAAATGAGACATGTCAATGTACAATGACACCTCAAGTGAAAAATGACACCTGGCAAGTGAAAAATGAAGTGTGTAAAATGAGACACATTAATGTAAAATGACACATCAAGTGAAAAATAACACATCAAGTGAAAAATAACACATGTTGATGTAAATTAACACATGTCAAGTGTAAAATGACACATATCAAGTGAAAAACCCAACATCCCCATAGCAAATTACTAAGAATCACCGTGACAAGCAACAAAACATCACCTAGACAAACAACAAAACATCGCCTTAGAAAATGATTAGACATCACTATGCGAATAACTAAATTTCCAATAACAAATAACTTGGCATCACCATGAAAAATAACTTGGCATCACCATGAAAAATAACTTGGCATCGCCATAACGAACTAAACAATAACACTTAAACAATAACTGAATTTTGATTTATCCCATAACTAAACATCACCATGACAACTTTGATTTATCCAATAACTGAACATCACCATGACAACTTTGATTTATCCCATAACTAAACATCACCATGACAACTTTGATTTATCCAATAACTGAACATCACCATGGCAACTTTGATTTATCCAATAACTAAACATCACCATGACAACTTTGATTTATCCAATAACTAAACATCACCATGACAACTTTGATTTATCCAATAACTAAACATCACCATGACAACTTTGATTTATCCAATAACTGAACATCACCATGACTTTCAGCAAATGATATAACTTTGGCCGCAGCAAATGATATAACTATGCCACAGCGAACGATATAACTTTGGCACAGCGAATGATATAACTTTGGCACAGTGAATGATATAACTTTGGCACAGCGAATGGTATAACTTTGCCACAGCGAACGATATAACTTTGGCACAGCGAATGATATGACTTTGCCACAGTGAATGATATAATTTTGCCACAGCGAACGATATAACTTTGCCACAGTGAACATTATAACTTTGCCACAGCGAACGATATAAATTGGCCACAGTGAATGATATAACTTTGGCACAGCGAATGATGAAACATTTCCAGAACAAATTATATAACTTTGCCACAGCAAACGTTATAATTTTGCCACAGCGAAAAATATAAATTGGCAGTTATGTCTTATCCCATTTTAATTGTTTTTGATTGAACACATTGGATTCAGACCACACAAAGTTAGCGTTCTGCAGTAATTTGGCCAACTGTTGATTGTATCTTTCGTAAAATTTATCGAGAATTTTTTGAGTCTTTAACAGCATTGGAGACGATCTCTTTTTTGACTTCGTAACACGAGATCTTTTTTGAGATTCGATTTTATTCATTTTTGATTTGCTGATGGGTTCGACTTCGAGAAATTTGAAAATTTGCTCGATATGTGTTTCAATGTCCTCAGAATAGTCCTCCGTACGAGCGATATAAAATTGGTCACGCTTAAAAACACGGAACCACTCTTTCAGGAAGATGGAATAACAACCAAAATGAATTCGGCACTGAAAGTAAGTGATAAAAAAATTTTATGAAAAATTTCTCGTTCTCTTATCGGCCATGTTTGAGTCTTTAAATTTTATATTAATTCTAAGAGGTTGTATACCTTTAAATTCAAACCCTCAGTAGCACTTTTTTCCAAATAATTACCAATTCATTCAAAAAATTTTTTTTTCAAATTTGAAGGGTACCCACCTTTAATTTTGAAAATAACTTGGAGCTGAAGAAACAATATCTTTCACTGTGACTGGAGAGACATTCATGGATGGCTGCTATGGAAGTGACCACTGCCTCATGGAAACTTTCTGGTGTGTTTCCTTGCTTCAGAAAAAAATAGTCCGAATATAATCTGGAAATAAAATGAAGTAAGTATTTGATAATGAAAAGTGGTATCAGGTGTCTAGAAGAGCAAGCATACCCTCCCTGTTACAACCCCTCATATGAGGAAGTATATCAATCATAAGTGAGTAAGTATTTCATAATGAAAAGTGGTATCAGGTGTCTAGAATAGAAGTGTAATCATACCCTGCCTGGCGCTACACAGGGTAAAGAAATAACTCTATATTGAATGTTAAAAAGGGGCAATAACTCTATATTGAAAGTTAAAAAGGGGCAATAACTCTATATCGTAAGTTAAAAAAGGGAAATAACTCTTCAATGTATGGTAAAAGGGGAAATAATTCACCTGTCAGTTGGATTTCTAAAGAGGAGAATGAATTTAGGATTTCTGTAGATATATTGCATCAGGTGTGGTGTAAAGACTGCTGGTTCCCTCAATCCATCATTCTGTGGTAGAAGTGGCCAGGCTCGAAAATCCCAGAAGTCTGGAGGACTAGCATCACCTTCAAGACAAATCGTGTAATTCTAGATTAGGGTGAATGAAAGGTAACAAGTTACAACCCAACAGAAGGCACTGGCACAGGGTTAAAGCAATGTTCACAAAGGTTAAGGTGGAATTGTCAGGGACCCCAGTTTGTTAAAGTTTCTAAATTTCATATTATTGTTAACCTGCTTTTGACCATTAAAGATGGGTTCCCTTATTTTCATTTATAAAAATGAAAATGCTAATACTTATATGAATAGAAAGTAGAGGTGTTCTAATGACTTGGTAAAATACCAGTTTGTCTCACATGTCTATAATTAATTCATAATTAGCTAAATTAGAAGAGAATTACCAACAGAATTCCAATGAGTGACCGATCAAGAAAGGTCAAAAAGTCTTTTTTTGTTTATCCAGACTGTACATACATGGATAATTATGATTGGTTAAAACTCTTAATTATATGCAATAAGAACATAATGATATGATTAAGAATACATGATAATTCATTAGAAACACCAATTAATCAAATAGTTTGCTTAATTTGACACTAAAAAATAAGGAAACCCATCTTTAAGTTTCTAAATTTCTAATTATATTATAGTTTACCTGTTTATGAACATAAAAATATTTGGAAACACTTGGTAATTCCATAGAATCTATTGGGCACATTGTGAAAAAATTTTCCCTCTATTAGCAAAAATCAAATTTTTCCCCTTGAAAAAGAAAAGAAGAAAAGTGCCTTACCTATGATAAGTTGATGTACAAGTTTGGATTTCTCGTTGATTAATTTGGTAAGGGAGGTAGACAGCGGATTAAAATAAGATGTGAACTCTTCAAAACTTTCAACTGGCAAAGACTTAAAGTTGAGTATCCCTTAAAGAGAAAATGAAAATGAAATGAAATGAAAATGAAATGAAAATGAAATGAAAATGAAATGAAAAAGAAATTCAAACTCTTTTTTGATTTCCATCTTTCACATGCACAGCCTGTAGCACACGGGGCCTTGGTTTACTGTCCCATCCGAACGACTAGATGCTTATTCCTTGTCAGCCCCTCTTACCTGTATCACTGACGGGGGGAGTCCGGGTTGAAAAAGCCACTGCGGCTCCCAAACTCACTGAGCCACTGTTGCTCCCAAACTCACTGAGCCACCACGGCTCCCAAACTCACTGAGCCACTGCGGCTCTCAAACTCACTGAGCCACTACAGCTCCCAAACTCACTGAGCCACCGTGGCTCCTAAACTCACTGAGCCACTGTGGCTCCTAATCTCACTGAGCCACTGTGGCTTCTAATCTCACTGAGCTACTGTGGCTTCTAATCTCACTGAGCCACCGCGGCTCCCAAACTCATTGAACCACCGCAGCTCCCAAACTCACTGAACCAATGCGGCTCCCAAACTCACTGAGCCACTGTGGCTCCCAAACTCACTGAGCCACTACAGCTCCCAAACTCACTGAGCCAATGTGGCTCCCAAACTCACTGAGCCACTACAGCTCCCAAACTCACTGAGCCACTACAGCTCCCAAACTCACTGAGCCACTACAGCTCCCAAACTCACTGAGCCAATGCGGCTCCCAAACTCACTGAGCCACTACAGCTCCCAAACTCACTGAGCCACTACAGCTCCCAAACTCACTGAGCCAATGCGGCTCCCAAACTCACTGAGCCAATGCGGCTCCCAAACTCACTGAGCCACTACAGCTCCCAAACTCATGAATGACGTGATATCATACCATATTTCTTCCAAGACCAATATAAAGCCTCTTTTTCCATGAAAGCCTCATTCTTTAGAATATGTTGATGTTCTACCAAACGTGAATATAGGTCTGTCGTGGCACACTTGGCACATCCCAATATGACAAAATAGGGCAGGCAACGTAACTTTAATTTTTGGACTGAAATTCCTTCGTACCAACATGGATTCTTAACATCTTCCAAAAATGGCAATTTATTCTGAAAAAAGTAAAAATACATTAAAGGGACAGATGCGCCATTTTTGGGGGGTTGATTTGAGTCTTGAATATGTATAAGTTCTAAAAATTTACGAATATCAGATAATTCCTTTAAAAATATCTCTAACTAGGAATTTTACTCACTATTTCTATAGATGTCTTTTCTATATATTACAGAGTATCTTAAATTGACGAGTCATCATTTTAACTTTCGAACGTGAATAATTCTAGACACACATGGATTTGAAGGCTCAAATTTCGACAGTGAGCTGTGAACACTATTACTGATTAGCTCAGCTAAAAAATTCCTGTTTCTGAGACTAAAGTATGATTGGTCAAAAAAATGGTGCATCTGTCCCTTTAATCAATTCTGATTTTAATGATGTAAAATATGATTAGTTTTGAGTTACTAGGACTGGAGAAAGAGGCTTTAAAGACATCAAGGTGGCGATTTCACTGCAGTGACACATCGCTACCTATTCAAGGATTGCGTTATGAGACTCGTTCTAGATTCAATATGGCTGACGATCTATATAATAAGGTCTATTCCTTCAACTTACCATACAAAATAGGTCTTGAATAGGGTAGTTCAGATTTCGGCACCAAGATGAAAAATTCCCATACTTCAGTTCCAATTTCCTGACATTTTCAGATTTCTTGGAGATATATATTTTTGGTAAACTTCTATGATTTTCAGGCTGATTTAGTTCCAAGATTTTTTCTGCCACAACATCAACATTGCCTTCATTTTCATGCAAAAAAGACAAAGGTGCCAGCCTTTTTGATTTAGAGGAGGAGTTTTCAACAGATATGAGATTTGATTGGTTAAAACTTGCTGCTCTGCTGTCAATCAGTGTATCTTCATTCTGATTGACAGGAAATATCCTGCTTGTCACCTTATCATCCTTTTTTTCAATCTCATTGGACACTTTTAGGCCGGCAGATTTGGAATCGGATATTGGTGTCTTAGTTCGTGATGTTAAGTCACGAGGCAAACTCGAAACTTCTGATTGGTTAAGTTCACCACCAGGTCTCTTCTCATTGGTTGAAATTTGTTGCAGATGATGAACTGATGAAGTCAATAACTTATACAGATTTTTCACTTTCCATTTGGCAATGACAATAATAGAAGACGCCAGAACGATAAGAATTAAAGTTCGAAAGAGACTCCTTATCTTCATTTTTCATCTGAAATGAAATGAAAATATTTCAAATGAAAGCAGCCCCGTAATTAGGGTGGGGGCGTCGTGCAAGTGAGAATTAAGCCCAGCTAGACCATCTTTAGTTCAGCAGAGATTGAGTTATTTACAGTGTCTTTGTACAAAATCAAAAAGATATAGATTTTGACACCTCAAAATTGTTCTCTGGGTCTTTAATTCTTCAAAGTTTCTGAGTACAAAATCTGAGCCCCAGTACCAATTTATTCCTGACGATGGGGCTGATTGAAAGTGATACAGATTGGGTAAAATGATCGAAAAAATCGATTATCGTCGCTAGGGATTTATAATTTCGGTTATCGATTATCAAATTTCATAATCGATTATATGTCAAAGTTACATTTTCTCCATTGTACCTGTTAACAAGCAGTAATCTCTTCCACATAGTTTCCCTTCAACACATAACATACCCACAATAAACTAAGAATTCTGATGAGGAAATTTCTAATTTGAGATATTTTTGAAAGAATTATGTGATTTTTGTACATTTCCCGAAGTTCTGAAAACTATTTAATCTATATTCAAGACCCAAATTAATCCCCTGAAAGAGGTCCTAGTTTCTCTGACTCTACTCCAGCCGATAATTGTCAAAATATTTATCAGAGAAGATGTTTCGGATTGATCAGAAGATTGTAGGCCTACCTTACGGCGTTTCCCTTTCTTTCAGCAGACGAACAGAACAGAACTTTAGAAGTAGCCTCCATCTTCTTATTTTTCTGATGGTAGGACCATTCTTTCCAAATTTTTCATTTCTAACAAATGCGGACTTTAAAATGTAAGTTACTTTTGACTAGGGCTTACTTCTTTGGGTTTTTTGTTTTCATTTTCTGAAGAAAAGATATCAACATCGTCTTTCACTTTTGCTTGTTTTCAAGAAAACTACGATCATCCAGGCGGTTTAATTTTTTTATTATTATTTATCTTAAGATACTAAAAAAAGATATTTATGAATTTAATGGCGCTAAGAAATTTCAGATCGACTGAAGACTTCGATGTAGAGATTGAATGAAAAATTTATGAAAATTCATTTATGGAGCGGTTGAAATTTATTGACGAAATTATTTGTGGTCTGAAAAGTCGAATTCTTCCTAAGAGTTATCAACCCTTAGAAAAAGTATTTGTTGTCTGAATCCTTCTACAGAAAAAAGGTTTTTGTCCCTTTATCCACTTTTTGCAAAATTTAAACAAATTCTAAGCTTTTTAAATCTATTAAATGATTTAATAAATGTTTCCTAGGAAACACGAAAGTTTCATAAAAAGTTTTTGAAGTCTTTTAAGGGATTTCAATCGCATGAATTCGCATTTGGGACCATCGTAATTTTCACCTCAATTCAACGATACATTGTACAGGACGGTCTGAGTCTATTTGATTCAAAACCTGCATGGAGTTTGTCCTGTACCGTCTTGCGTGAATTTTCAAAACAAAGAAGGTGTCATTCAAGCGAAAAAATTGTCAACTGTAAACTCTGTCAAGAAACTCAAGGAATTAAGCCTGGAAGAATTATCAGGATGCTGTGGAACCCAGCCAACATGGCAACGGTACCGTAAAGGTGAGTTTGGCTTGAAATATTCTCAGGACTCCGTCAAATTTGTTACATTTTTGGACAAAATATTAAGAAATGATCTTTAGTCGCGATTGTCACATAAAGATTTTTTGAGAGAAAGTAAATTAAGAATTTTTGGGAAAGGATAAGGAGTGTTTAATTTTAACATTTTTGCTGGTTTGGACCATGACAAAAACCATTTATTTGATAAACTTCTGTCTGATCACAAGGTTTAAGAGACAGATGTGTTATTCTTTTTGACGATCATATCTTAGTCTCAGAATTGGGAATTTTTTTAGTTAAGTCAATTAGTAATAGTGTTCACAGCTCACTGTCGAAATTTGAGCCTTTAAATCCATGGTGTACAGAATTATCTGTGTTTAAAAGTTAAAATGACGACTTTACTCACTATTTCTATAGATGTCTTTTCTATATATCACAGTGTCTCAAGAAAAGACGAGTCGTCATTTTAACATTCAAACATGGATAATTCTAGACACACATGGATTTGAAGGCTCAAATTTCGACAGTGAGCTGTGAACACTATTACTGATAGTCTTAGCTAAAAAAATTCCTGTTTCTGAGACTAAGGTATGATTGGCAAAATAACTGGTGCATCTGTCCCTGTAAATGAAATCTGCTATATTGCTCGTGGTCTCAACAGTAGACATCATTTGCTTCTGCCAAATTGTTAATTGGATTTTCGTTTTCTGTTTTTCGGTACAGTTTATTAGTATTTTTCATTAACAATATCACTCAGTTCTCAGTCAACTTCATCTTGGCTTCTGGCTAGAATATTCTGTTTGTCACGCTGATTCCTTTAGGGTAGTTCATATTTACATCATTCCATAGCAAGATGTACGCAAATACCACGTCTAAAAATAGACATTGGTGATTCTAAGACTGCCTTGGAGGCATTCGGACCATTTTCATCATGAATGATCTGCTTCAATGAAAGAAAAAACGTATCTTGATAGAGGTATTCGTAGCTGTGTCTGCTAATTTGGACGTCATAGCTCGTCTGTTACACTGGAGCCGTGGAATTCCCACCTTGTTTTCAGTCCACCTTATGACGTCTGCTCAGATGTTTGTCACAAATATTGTGGAATTCCCTGGGGTTCCTTAATAATCTACCATCAAATTATGACGTCTGTTTTGATGTTTGTCACAAATATTGTGGAATTCCCTGGGGTTCCCTAATAATCTACCATCAAATTATGACGTCTGTTGAGATGTTTGTCACAGCTGTAAATGGGTATAGATAATCCAGGAAAGATCAATACCAAGAGGTTTGGTCAAGGACCAGCTGGTAGAAAGGATCCTTGTGAACCTAAGTTGTTATCCCTGTAAAATATAGTTATTCCTTCTGTTTTCAGGTCTGAAAGTATTAAAATGGAGCAGGAACTGAAAGAAGAGCTCTGCTGCCCAATCTGTACAGACTTGTTCAAGTCTCCATTGAGGCTGCCTTGTGGGCATTCGTATTGTCAGAACTGTTTGAGAGCCATGGTGAAGAAGCCCCCTGCCAGACACCCAACCGGTTTATCAAGATGGTGGCATGAAGATGACGATGATGAAGAAGTAATTTTGAATTGTCCAGAATGCAGAAGAGAGTTTGTGTTAGATGATAGGGGAGTTGATCGGTTTCAGTCCGACTTCAAACTGTCCAAGCTAGTCGACTTGTACAGGAAGTTAGATATGATACCTCTTACAGATAGTGTAAGTACTGGTATTCTTCTAGACACCTGATACCACTTTTTATTATGAAATACTTACTCACTCATGATTGATATACTTCCTCATATGAGTGGTTGTGACAGGCAGGGTATGCTTACTCTTTTAGACACCTGATACCACTTTTTATCATGAAATACTTAATCGCTTATGATTGATATACTTCCTCATATGAGGGGTTGTAACAGACAGGGTATGCTTACTCTTCTAGACACCTGAAACCACTTTTCATTATGAAATACTTACTCACTTATGATTGATATACTTCCTCATATGAGTGGTTGTGACTGGCAGGGTATGCTTACTCTTCTAGACACCTGATACCACTTTTCATAATGAAATACTTACTTACTTATGATTGATATACTTCCTCATGTAACACAAAACACCAGATAGCGCTGTAAAAAAATTTCTTTGCTTTTTTCAGGAACCAGAAGAAGACATCAACACAAACAAAAGTGAAAAAACTGGAAGCAAAATGGCGGAGGATGCTGAACCTTCTTGTAATTTACAAGTTGATTGCAGAGCTACATCAGTGTCAACAGAGACCTGTGAGGTGCTGAGTAATGTTCCAACAGCTCTCTGTTCAGAGACTCTGTTGAAACAAGTGAATACCGACATGCCCCCAGATGTCCACGAACCGAGTGCCTTGGACCACAGATCTCTATCCAATCCTGATTCAGGAACTTTCACTAATTGTGCCAGTGCATCTACTGAGGTGGTTCCTCAATTTCATGACAACCATTTTGCGGAAATAGGGAATAGGGAGAGCAGACCAAATGAAAAGTGTCTTTCTCTGGAAGCTCGAGTTCCTCATGGAGCCAAAGCAAGATCATCTCCTCAACGTCTAGACTCGGATGCAACCCGGCCTTTAGTTCCACAAAGTGGGCATTACGATAACTTTACCTCCAGTGCCTCGAGAGCGAACTACGCTTCCCCAAACTTTTTGCGAAGTAACCCCAATCTAACCCAAGACTTACTATCAAGACCCGATCTCACAAAAGGAAGGATTCATGCCTCAAAATCTGCTGGAAATTTAAGTCAAGGACAAAATCCAGGATTAGATCGTTATATGAGATCTCATTCAGATGTGGCTTCGTCATCCACAACCACTCACAGGTCACCAAGTGCAACTACAGGATTGTCATCCCAAAGTCCTTCTCGGCAGTCATCGCCGCGTCAAGGCAGTCAGAGTCCAAAATTTGGCAGCGGAAACTATGATAATGTGATGGACAGTGCTACAGTGAGTCAGATTTTGGCATCTGGTAGTGATGCCATGGCAACAGCTGCCTCTTGTTCTAACACCATGGCAACCGCTGCATCTGGTACTGACACCATGGCAACCGCTGCATCTGGTACTGACACCATGGCAACAGCTGCATCATCAGCTGCTTCCGGTGCTACAAACACTTCCACCAATCGGGTGCCTTACAAAAGGATTGGTTCCAGCCAATCTCTCTCGTCTTCCAACTCCAGGTCCAGCAAGTCAGCCAATGAACAATACGACAATTTACGAAAACAGTCGAATGCCTCCAAAGGATCTGTGTCCTTAGGCTGCAGCTCGAAACAAACAAACTCGTCAAGTGAAGATTCTAAGCATAAAGAATCTGAGGCATCGGATAATGAGATGCGCATGACCTCATCTGTGCAAGTGACCCGACGAAGGCGAAAGAAGAAGCGCAATAAAGTGGCTTCGTTTTTCTCGGCTCTATTGTTTTCAGATTCTTCGTCCTCAGATGATTTCAGTTTGTCAGATTCCGAAGAGGAACGTAAACGCCAGTTAAATCGTCAGAAACAACGGCAAAAGTCATTATTCTATTCCTCCTCTTCCTCATAAGACTGGATAATCTGTTCTATTCTGTGATTTACAAGACTGTTACATGTTAACTTTTTAATGAATCATTTTACTGGAGACTTGATTATCAAGACTTGTATGCCGATGTTTTAGTGAATCAATAAACTTGATTATCAAGACTGTTAATGTTTTAATGAATCAAATTACTGTGGACTTGATTATCAAGACTATTATATGTTAATAATTTAATGAATCAATTTACTGGAGACTTGATTGTCAAGACTGTTACATATTAATGTTTTAAATGAATCAATTTACTGTAGACTTGATTATCAAGACTGTTACATATTAATTTTTTTAATGAATCTATTTACTGTAGACTTGATTGTCAAGACTGTTACATATTAATGTTTTAAATGAATCGATTTACTGTAGACTTGATTATCAAGACTGTTAATGTTTTAATGAATCAAATTACTGTAGACTTGATTATCAAAACTGTATGTTAATATTTGTGCTGGACACAAAGATTGGTTTATCAAGACTACTGGAATTTGTTGTCTCTGTTATAACCAGACTTGATTGTTTGGAGGGGCAAGTAATATATCTGGAAGGGGCAAATAAAATATCTTGAGGGGCAAGTAATATATCTTGAGGGGCAAGTAATATATCTGTTGGGCCAATGGTGTATGGTGGGTTGTCAGAATTTTTCAGGGGTCAATCTATTTTTTCAGTAGGGCATTTCCTAGCATCCCCAACCCCCACCTACTCTCTTGTTATTATGGACCTGTAGGTATGTTAGTGTTAAACAAAATTATATGTTCACATCTGGGCATTACTTTACATAATCAAATAAAAATGCATATCTAGATTTTTTGCCTTGTTTTTTTCTGCAGTGAGTGACTCCACTTGCCAACCATGATCCGACCAGTAAAGAATTACATCGCCATGCAGTATGAAATGGGGGAAACAAATTAGGATTCCTTTTTCAATTTGTGGAGTTATTTCTTACCAACACCACACAAGACTTGACGCTTTGTCCATATCAGTATATCCTAACTGCATCACTGACAGGGGGGAAACTGGGTTGAAATGGAGAAGGAGTAGGTGTTTATGAAGACAGTACCTCCTAACTGCATCACTGTCAGGGAGAAACTGGTTGAGCAATCCACCCCTGGCCCAAACAGTTGTAAGTGCAATTTGCACCTTTTAGGATGAGTTGACAATTAATCATGGAATCTTCAACAAAATTAACAGTAAAAAGAACTTTATTTTCAATGGAACTTTTCTACAAATGAATAATGAACTTATGGTACTTAATTATGCAAAGTTCCTAGAAACTAGAAAGAACAAAAAATTATCATTTTTTATGGAACTTAAGAATGATGCAATGCAATTGTCCAAAATCCTTTAGAACCAAAAATAATATTATGGTACTTAATTATCAAAAGTTCCTAATGAACAACATAACAAAGATAAATTATCGAACTTAAGAATGACGCAATTGTCCAAAATCCTTTGGAACCTTAAATTGTGGAACTTATTTCCAAATCTATTATGCAATGTCTCTAGACGATCAATATTATAATTCATTTATGGAACTTATTCTATAAAAGAATCATGTAATAATAATTTTTGAATCTATTGTACTTAATTATGCAAAGTTCCTAATTAACAACAATAGCTAAAATCTTTTGTACTATGGAACTTTAGAACCTATTTTATTCAATGTAAATTTCTTCAATAGCCACTATGGAACTTTAATTACATAAATAATACAATATAATTTAACATTTGACCATGAAACTTATTTTCTAAAAATTCATTATACAATATTTCTATTGGTAAATTATGGAACTTTATTGTTGCATACCAAAAAGGAAAAACAATTATGGAACTTTCGAGTTATAGTTTATGTAACTAATTGCAATTACAACACTACAATGACAACAACTTTTTTTTATTATTACGAATGACAACAATAACAAAATAACAACAAAATAACAAAATTTATAACATAAAAATCACATTCAAATATTTATATATTAAAGGGACAGATGTGCCATTTCGGGGGTTGATTTGAGTCTTGAATATATGTAAATAGTCTTCAGTACGAAATGTACGAAAATCTCATAATTCCTTTAAAAATATCTCAAACTAGGAATTTTACTCACTATTTCTACAGATGTCTTTTCTATATATGACAGTGTCTCAAGAAAAGACGAGTCGTCATTTTAACTTTCAAACACAGATAATTCTAGACACACATGGATTTGAAGGCTCAAATTTCGACAGTGAGCTGTGAACACTATTACTGATTGGCTAAGCTAAAAAATTCCAGTTTCTGAGACTAAGGTATGATTGTTAAAAAAAAAAGGGCACATCTGTCCCTTTAATAATGCCTTATTCAACATGAGCATTTGCGATTTTTCTTTTTGCCTACAAGCTGCCAGTATCTAGCCCTTGTTAAAAATCCAATTTCTCTCTTAGATTATGCTGTGACCTGAGACTAACTCCATAATATCAATCAAAATATCCCAATATTTACAACTTCAAAATATACAAATCTGTTCTGTACAAAAATTTACAATGTAAATAGGTGGATATACAATTCAAATTATACAATTCAAATTATACAATTCAACTGATGATTATACAATTCAAATTATACAATTCAACTGAAGTAAGATTACACTTTTCAATCTGATGATTATACAATTCAACTGATGATTATACAATTCAACTGATGACTATACAATCCAAATTGATGATTATACAATTCAAATTATACAATTTAACTGAAGTAAGATTACACTTTTCAAAATAATGATTATACAATTCAACTGAAATAATGATTATACATTACAAAATGATGATTATACAATTCAAAATGATGAATATACATTCCAAAATGATGAATATACAATTCAAATTATACAATTCAACTGAAATAAAGTTTATACTTTTCTAACCTATGAATATTATACAATTCACAAATAAAAAATATACAATTCAAAATGATGAATATACAATTCAAATCGTTCGATCCTAAGATAATGTTCGGACTTCAAAGAACTTCTTTTTCATTTTTGTTTTTCGTTGTCAACAAAATTTGAGAAAATTCAAGTTTTTATATTTCCAATTTCAGTATGATAACAGTTGAACTTTTCCTCTGCCTGTGCCTGTGTATAAAAGTTCCAAAAAGAAGTACATGCTTGAGGTAAGAGACAGATTCCCTTTAAAATTATTTATTATGGTACTTAAATCAAGGCAAGAACGTCTTCTTTGCAGTTGCGACCAATATCTTCCAGACACAGTGAGACTAACAAAAGAACATCAATACAAACAAACAATAACACAATAATGTAATAACAATACAAGGCTTGTTTATATAGCATCATAGTCTTAGTTCTACAGCTCCAAATTTGTTGTAGTTGATGATAGGATATGCTTTGCTTCAGGCTTGATTTCCTATGAGCCATGATTTTTCACGGTGAATCATTTCAAATCATGAATGTTTTATGCTTAATCATGCTTCGGCAGGATTATTCATTGTTAATCATTGAAACATGATTTTTCATGGTAAATTATTATTTCCAATCATGATTTTTACAGTACAGCATGGCAATAATTTTCAGGGAAAATCATTTCATATCATGATTTTATATGGTATATCCAGGCATGACTTTTCACTGTATAGCATGATTGTATCACTGTTAATCATGACAAAGCATAAGTTATTATGGTAGGTTATCCAATGCTGGTAGCATGATTGTCAAAATCATGGCATCATGCCAGGTGTCGCGGTAAATGATAAATGGTGGAATGGTAGACCTAGTCGGTCACCAAGTTTTGCCATTTCTTGGTACAGGTTTGGTACAGAGTTTCAGGGTGGTTGCTGTGATCATGTTTAGGTTCCTGCTTCTTCTGGATCACTGATGAGTTCTTCAGTATCGTCTTCAGAAACTGATGACAGCTTCTCCCTCAATCCTGCTGATATGCGACCTTCATCCACTTCTTGACACCATTTTCGACACTGAAACAAGAAGAAAATGCCAAAACATCATTGCGTTTCACAGCCAACTTTGACACAAAATTTTGGGGTGTCAATTAGACACAAGCCTTGACTCATTTGGGGCAAAGGGGGGAGACTTAGTGATGATTTAGCTATCAACGACTTAGACACTAGTGACTTAGCTATCAATGACTAAGCTATCAATGGCTTGAACATCAATGGCTTAGCTATCAATGGCTTAGCTATCAATGACACATAGAGATGACTTAGCTATCAATGACTTAGCTATCAATAACTAAGTTATCAATGACTTAGCTGTCAATGACTTAGCTATCACTGACTATGCTATCAAAGACTTAGCTATCAATGACTTAGCTATCAATAACTTAGCTATCAATGACTTAGCTATCAATAACTTAGCTATCAACAGCTGACAAATCAAAATCCAGCAGAGATTGTGTTGGAGTCCTCTAACACAGCAGAGATTGTGTTGGAGTCTCCTGGCACAGCAGAGATTGTGTTGGAGTCCTCTGACACAGCAGAGATTGTGTTGGAGTCCCCTGGCACAGCAGAGATTGTGTTGGAGTCCCCTGACACAACAGAGATTGTGTTGGAGTCCCCTGGCACAGCAGAGATTGTGTTGGAGTCCCCTGACACAACAGAGATTGTGTTGGAGTCCCCTGACACAGCAGAGATAGTGTTTTAGTCACCTGGTACAGCAGAGATTGTGTTGGAGAGTCCCTTGGTACAGCAGAGATTGTGTTGGGAGTCCCCTGGCACAGCAGAGATTGTGTTGGAGTCCCCTGGCACAAACGCGATTCTCTTGGATTCCCCTGGCACAAAATTGATTCTTTTGGAGTCCCCTGGGCCTGTTCTGGGATGTCGCCACCCTTTCCCAAATGACCACCTTGAAGATGTTCCATGAGCTGTCTGTCAATTTGCAGGGAACGTAAGTCAATGTAGCCACGACCATAAATGCAGATCGGCATCAAGCCCAAATATAAAGAAAATAGAAACATGTTTGATTTAAGTTCTTTATATAAAAAACATAGCATAATTTATAATAAAATGACAAAAGTTATAAAGAACCACTGAAAAGATTACAAAAATAATTCAAATTTTGGCAAATATAGCATTAGAATATAACATTAGAATATAACATTAGAATATAACATTTAAAACTCCTTAGTAACATTAAAAAACTTTGTTAATTAAATATCTAAAAAGCAATTTGTCTTTGAGATAGGAAATTTCCTTCATTGCACACAGCACTACGTTGCCCATACATCCAATAAAAAAAGAGACAGGTTCGAAATGTACGAAAATCTCATAATTCCTTTAAAAATATCTCAAACTAGGAATTTTACTCACTATTTCTATAGATGTCTTTTCTATACATCACAGTGTCTCAAGAAAAGACGAGTCATCATTTTAACTTTCAAACGTGGATAATTCTGGACACACATGGATTTGAAGGCTCAAATTCCGACAGTGAGCTGTGAACACTATTACTGATTGGCTTAGCAAAAAAATTCCTGTTTCTGAGACTAAAGTATGATTGATCCAAAAAATAACGCACCTGTCCCTTTAAAAGTACACACATATATATATATATAACATAATAATATTGAATATTAAAATATTTTTTGCTGATATCTTCGTTTTAACATATATATAAAGATATCCCATAATTTGCCATTTCATGTCTTGATTAAATAAAAAATACAGGGTTAGCATAATGGAATAAAGTTTAACTTAAGTTAAATACATGACTTGATTAAATAATGTTTAACTTAAGTTAACTACGTGACTTGATTGAATAAAGTTTGACTTAAATAAGTGGCTTGATTACATAAGATTTAACTTAAGTATAACTTGACTAAATGGAGTATAGACATAGTTAAATAAGTAACTTAAGTTAAATGCATTCAATAACTTAAGTAAAACTAGACATGATACAACAAAATTTAACTCAAGTTGAATCCATTCTTTTACTTATGTAAAAATTTAAGTACTTCAGTAAGATACAATAACGTTTAACTTAAGTTAAAATTAACTTAAGTGACTAAAATATGTTATTTAACTTAAGTAATGGAATTAATTGATTAAAAAATAAATTACAACAGAGTTTAAATTAAACGTCATAAGTTGAGCGATGCTAAGTAAACGTCACACATAAAAGTTTAACTTATTACTAAGTAAAAGTTCTAAGTAAAGTACTTGAACTTGGATGTTCAAACTGAGTATTGCCCTATATCAGTTCTATAATGACTAGCTGGTACAGTCTGTAATCAACAATGTCATGTTAACAAAGACTAACAAACATTAACAAATCAACAATTTTCTTTAAGCACATTAACAAATCAACAAATTTTCAAAGGAAAATCCATTTTAACAAGTTAACAAATTTTTAAACGTTATATTTTAACATAATTACAAACTTTTACATTAACAAATTTTTAAATTTTAACATTAACAAATTTTTAAACATTAATTTTAACATAATTACTAACAAATTTTGATATTTCTAACATATTGAGTTAACAAATTTTGAATTTACGGTAAAAAATCAACAAATTACAAAATATGTTTATTGATTGAATTAATTTTAAGTAATTCCGCCCTTTGACCTTTTCTAATTTCGTCACCTTTTCAGCAACTAGGTCAAGGTCATTACATTTAACTTAATTCAAATACAGATCTATTTCGTTCCATGTAGTTTCTATGGGTTACTTCACGCATTCCGTAATCTTAATACTTAATAAGAAAGGTATGGTTACAATTCAACCAATCAAAAGCTTATGCACCATTTGTAATGAATTTGGTGATGGTCTATATCGAAAAGCCATTTCTATAGTTCAAGCCCTTTTGCATATATTAACAATGTCTTTGGTTGAACTTATTCTTAACAAAAATGCTGTCAGATCACGAATCAGAAAGGAAAATTAACAAAATACAGCATCAAAAAGCTGTATCTTTTTGATAAAAATACAAAAATATCGCCAAAACCAAACTCTTCAAATGGTTGAACTTAATCTCAAGAGGAATGCTGTCTGATCACGAATCAGAGAAGTAGAGGTGTATCATAATAAGATTGATAAAAATACAAAAATATTGTCAAAAACCAAATTCTTAGGAACGGTCCAGCCGCTTTAATTTAAATGAAATACAAAAATAAATACACGTGTTATAAAAGATGAAATAGAAAAATTATGCCATTCTGGTTTTTTTCAATTAAAAAAAAATGAAATAACAAAAAAACTTAGTAATTTCATGTAGTTCAAATTTTCTCTTTAAATAAAATGAGTATTCTTTTGCATGACACGTTAAAGGGATTTTAAAGGGATTTTCTCAAAAATTTATGCGTATCAGGGACACTGATAGCATCAATTTGCATTATTCCAATTTTCAATCAGATGTCAGTGGTTCTTGCAATTCCGCTAAAACTAAGTATTTGATGACATCACTAATCGCAAAATATGCTTTATCACATAAGACCCGTCGCTATTAGTGACATCATCAAAGCTTTAGTTCTAGTAGAATTGCAGGAACAACAGACGTCTGATTGAAAAATTAGAATGGTGTAAATTGATAAAATGCCATTTTTCTCCAAATTTGATGATGACATTTGATTCCAGTTTTTTGAAAGTCATCTTTGCCTTTCTTTTCATTCCGTACATTCTTTGACTGTCTTCTTTCCCATGTGGAATCTCCTTCCATTAAAATTCTATGAATTTGAAAACATCCTGACCAATTCCATAGACTTAAAATATCTTCCATGAAAATTTCATGCATTTTGGAATCTCTTCCATCCATTTTTTCCAAACAATTCCACGAAATTTCCAAACATTTTGGAATCTCTTCCATCCATTTTTTCCAAACAATTCCATGAAATTTTCCAAACATTTTGGAATCTCTTCCATCCATTTTTTCCAAACAATTCCGCAAAATTTCCCAAACATTTTGGAATCACCTTCCAAACAAATCCATGAATTCTGGAATCTTCCTACCAAAATTGCACAATTCCATGACTTCTTGTGACTTCTTTGGAATGTGTTCCCCTCCAATGATTTACAGAGAATTGCTTCATGACTTTATTTACAAATACAAATGATATACAAATATAGCACTATTTCATTAGTCACATTGAATATCTCTACAAGTCCCTGTGATAATCACATCCACATATATTTCAAGTCCCTGTGGGAATCACATACCAGCGGGGGAATCACATTAAATAAATTCTTTAGGCGTGAAGTCACGAGGATGAGGAATCAGAGGATTCAGAATAATCCAAATAGTCCGTCACAACACTAGGTAGCGTTCGATTGCCAGTGCTGACGTCTGCTGGTTGGGGCGTTCCCGAACCGGATCCAGAACCATCCCTTTGAAAACGAGATTCGTCATCTTTCAAAAACAGATACCACGAATGAATCTGCTCTTTTTCACTGAGCTGGGAGACGTCTGGACGATTTGGCATGTAAGATGGTGGCGACGTGGCGTTGTCTTCCAGAACGTCGTTACTAGCGCCACTCGAGTATCGAACAGAATGGACGTTTGTGAATTGGCCACCGGTGCCGCGCGGAAGAAAACCTGTCGAAGATGTCACACATTGGTTAGGATTAGAGAAGATACTGTTTATCGATTGGTTACAAACTGGACCGTAAGTGTTCATGGGTAAATGCGTGTTCGTCAAAGGGGCATAACTCTGTAATTGCTCTTGGAGCTTCTGGGCCTCTTCTTGTTCTCGTTCTTTCAAAACTAATTGCTTTAATTCATCAACGATAATTCCTTGATCTGCTTGCTCACACCATTCTTTGTACTATTACAAAAATAACAAATTTTTGTTTCATTGAAGCCATGGGGACATATGTGGCTTCATATGGGGTTCTTATGAAGCCAAAAAAGGCGGGAAACCTACTTTAATGAGCCAACACCAACTCGAGAAAAAGGGCGGGAAAAAATGTTTTGGGTATTAAAAGGGCGGGAAAATACGTTTTTGAGGTATAAAAAGGGCGGGAAAATACATTTTTGGGATAAAAAAAGGCGGGAAACAGTATCAAAGGAAAATGAGGGGAGAAAAACTGGATGAAGGTGATATGGCCCTTGGGGTTAAGGAAAGGGTTAACGTATTTCAAATGATATCGCAAGAATGGCTAAGTATTGTATGTGTATTTCAAATATAAAAAAGAACTTGTAGGTTGAGGGAAATGAGTGTTTAGTCCCACCCCAAGAAATGTGATGTTCTTGGGCAATATGGGGGTGAAGGTATACAGGAGTAGGTCGTTAAAAATTTAGGCAGAATAGTAAGAAAAGGTTCTTGTAAAGGTATTATATAATATGGTGTTACTAAATTCCAAAAGGAGCCAAAATATACCAAACAATAACATAAAAAGCTTAAAAGCGCTACTCACCATTTGAAGCTCCTCTCTCAAAGCGAACACTGCCTTCTCTCTGTTGGCCACGAGTTCTTCAATATATTGATAACGGAGCTTCTTTCTAGCTCTGCATTCCCGGGCGCTCTGTCGACTTCTTTCCAATTTCGCCTTCACGTCAATTTTCACTGGTTTTCGCCCTGGACGTTTGCCTCTCTTCTGGCCTTTTTCACCAGACATTTGAGATGGAGATTCCTGAAAAGAAAGGTAACAACCGGTTTTAAACTGTTCTAATATTACCAGAGATTCGGTTTCAAACGGTTTATACCACATATTTCTGCACTAAACACGGTTTCACAAAGTTTTGATACGGTTTCACTAAGTTTTGATATCTTAACGACACAAACAGTTGGTTTAAACCGGTTCTCAAAATTAATAATCAATCAAAGTAGGTTTTAAACGGTTCTTCAAATCATATTGTGCAAATAAGGTTTCACCAAATGTTCACAATAACACAACAAAAACGGTTTAAAAATTCACATAATGGAAAAACTCGCATCAGTACAACAAGGTTGGTTTCACATAGTTTGAGTACAGAAAGGGTCTAAACCGGTTCAACAATATTTCTAATAAAATTAAAGGGAAAGGTACGCCATTTTGGAGGTTTGATTTGAGTCTTGAATACATGTAAATAGTCTTCAGAAGTACTAGAAATATACGAAAATCTCATAATTCCTTTAAAAATATCTCAAACTAGGAATTTATCCACTATTTCTATAGATGTCTTTTCTATATATCACAGTGTCTCAAGAAAAGACGAGTCGTCATTTTAACTTTCAAACACAAATAATTCTGGACACACATGGATTTGAAGACTCAAATTTCGACGGTGAGCTGTGAACACTATTACAGATTGGCTTAGCTAAAAAGTTCCTGTTTCTGAGACTAAAGTATGATTGGTCATAAAATGGCACATCTGTCCCTTTAAAACTGTAGTATATTATAGGCCTACTATAAATGTGGTTTGAAAATTCTTTTGTCATACTTAAGTGAATATAGGTCGGTCAATGTTCTCTATCAAATTTGACCTTTTTCAACTTGCACCAAACTCAGATTAGAGTGCAAATATCATTGATATATTTCGTTAGGGATTTTGTGAAGTTTGTAGTTTTTAGCTCCCCGTTTTTTTACTACTCTTAAAGGGACAGATGCGCCATTTTTGGGACCAATCATACTTTAGTCTCAGAAACAGGAATTTTTTAGCTAAGCTAATCAGTAATAGTGTTCACAGCTCACCGTCGAAATTTGAGTCTTCAAATCCATGTGTGTCTAGAATTATCCACGTTTGAAAGTTAAAATGATGACTCGTCAATTTAAGATGCTGTGTGATATATAGAAAAAACATCTATAGAAATAGTGAGTAAAATTCCTAGTTTGAGATATTTTTAAAGGAATTATGAGATTTTCATACATTTCTAGTACTTCTGAAGACTATTTACATATATTCAATACACAAATCAACCTCCGAATATGGCGCATCTATCCCTTTAAAGTTGTAGTCCAACTTTTTTCTTTTTTATCTAAGATACTAAAATATAACGAAATATCTATGTTAATAACAGTAGAATATAAAACTCTATTTCATTCTAGGATTAAAAATTTGATCTCACCACTTCCCTACACATATTAATTCCGAATGACTTGATATATTTTTCAGAATGAATTCGAAGTCAAAGATCAGCCGAATTACGTACGGAGGTGGAAATGATACATCAAACAGATGAAAGCAGCCGACAGAATTACAAAGAAGGCCGACACTTCCTACGAGTCTTCATAATTATGAGTCTTCGAAATACGTCAGAGGTGAGTTGAAACCATCGAATTCGGTAAATTACATCATTCATTGATTCGAATTTATTGACCTTTCTCAAAAATTCGTTTAATTCACCGATTTTTGAAATCTTTATATCCTGCCTCCGCGATCAGCTGATTCGAAGGACTCGAACAAACCAGACGTTTACTGTCGTATAAATATACATAGAGTCCTAACGTTCGAGAATAATCTAAAAAACCTCCGGAATTTTCCGGAAACGAACGAAGGCCATGACGTAAAGTCTAAGCTCCGCCTTCTTTTTCATTCGCAATTATCAAGTCCTTCAATGCAGCGACCTATTTCTACAAAAATTTCCGCTTTAGAATGTTCTAGGCTACAATGTCCCGAAAGTCGGTCAACATTGTAAATAAAATAGTAAAATGGCGAGTGAAAATTCGGTCAACCTCAAGGTTTTGAACTTGTTTAAACTTCCGAGGCGTGAATGAACCATCGTCTCAATTATGACTCAAGGCCATCCATCCCTACCCCACGCAAATTTTGGAAATTAAACAAGACTACACCCAAAATGACTCTAAAATTCACATTTGAAAAAAGTCGGTCAAGATTTTTTTGATGGATGTGTTTGTTTATTTTGTGCCCTAAACTTTAATTTTCAATGTTTACATAAGGATGGGGTACATGGACAGCTGTCAAAAACGCTGACCGAGGTATCAAAAATACCCCTGTCAGGTGAGAATTTGTTGACGGATGTGTTTGTAACATATCGCCCCATGCGATAGTTTTCGTAGCTTAGATTTATATGAGTTGAATTTCATGGACAGACATCTAGTTTACTATCGAAAACGCTGGCCGAGGATTAAAAAATGAGAGAAGATTTCATATTCAGTAGATTTATCCAAAATTTTAACACTGACGATCTTTTTTCATGGTTTGAGTGTAATTTTTGGGGAAATTTTCAGCTTTCAAAGAATTAATTCAATATTTTATCCAAATCTTGAAAAATAACTTTTGGAGGAAAAACAGAAAATCTGATTAAAAACGGGGAAAAAATGACTGAGGACGGTGGAAGCTCGAATTTTTGAGGATCTTTTTCGACGAAAAACCACTTAGCATCAATGACAACGGAAAAAATGATTGTTCAAATATCAAAAAGCGATGATGAAATTTCAAAGGGTAAAATTTCGGGAATATTTCGAATCTAAAATTCTACAAAAATTTCAGACGAATTTCGACATCAGTTTGCAAATCAGCTGATCAACTGTCAAAATGATAGGTAGACGCTCTGAAGGGAAAAACCAGTCGACATAGACCCAGGATATCCTGTGAAATATTAGCTTACCTTGTATATTTGGGGATTTCCCGTGCCTCGATCAAGATCCGCAAACCTTGCTGTCATCAAAATGAAAAAAATGAGTCACTCTAAGATTTCGTATAATCCTTTACAATTTCGCAATTTCGTGTGTTACTCACTGCTAGTTTAATATTCAGCCATATTGGCCTCTTTCGTGATATACAAGCTTTATATACCAATGGTATTGTTTACGCAGGACTCCCATTGACGTCATCAAAGATATCCCCAAAGTGACCAATCAAATGCCTAGAAAATTCGTCATCGTTCTAAAAATAGCTACGTAAACAAAACAACCACTCACGTGTTAATATGCTAGCTTGTTTTTCTAGAGTTTTCTAGGTCAAAGTGGTTACTTAACCGACTTGGTTACCAGTTAACCATAATATTTACGTGCATACTATTCAATAATCTTTCGGTACTTAAAAGTTAAGTCAATTTCGGGGCCGGAGTGTGTGTGCTTCAGTTTTGAACTGGATCTAGCGAGTCTGATTGCATCACACCGTGGACGCGTGTTAGCTGTCACATCTTTGTGGTGGTTTATAGGTCTTACCAAGGTTAAATCCTCGCCAAATCCAAAAAAAAAGCATAACAAATGCGGTCATTTTCGGACTTCGACCGTTTTTAATTAATAACGGTGCCAATCAAATTAGCCCTTCAACAATGATTATAATATCTGTATTGCCGCAGACGATATTTGAACGAATGATAGCAGACGACATTTGAAGTAGAGCAGACGATAACGAAGACGGAAATGCATTGAAGTTTATTGTCCTACTTTTCTACCATGGAGAGCACGATGGTGGGAATTTTACCATGAAATCAACGCCGATTTAACTAGATTCCTGTGATAATTTGACAACTAGATTGTCTACGAAAGCACCGGTTGCGGTACCAGTATTGAATGGAAAATGATTGTTGCTATCCTTAAAGCACTAAGTTCGCCATTTTCGGGTTTGATTTTGATATGCAGAACTACTAAGCCTGTACAAAAATTGCATCATTCCTTCAAATAAAATATCCAAACTAGAAATCTAGATCAGAGTCTCAAGAAAGGACGAGTCGTCATTTTAACATTCAAACGCGGATAATTCTGGACACACATGGATTTGAAGGCTCAAATTTCGATGGTGAGCTGTGAACACAATGACTGATTGACTTAGCTAAAAAAAAATCTCGTTTCTGAGACTAAGGTACGTTTGGTCAAAAAAAAATGGCGCCTCTGTCCCTTTAAAGAAATAAAAAAAAACATGCCGAGTTGCCACCAGATGTTTCTATAAATCTACATTCCAGTGGAATAGCTCAATCGGTAGAGGGTTGAATTGTCGTCTGTTTGGCATTTAGGTGCCGTGGGTTCGAATTCTCTCCTCAAGGTAAGACAAGTTATGCTGCCAGCTCCAGTGCTTCCGAGAAATGAGAAACTTCCTCAATTAGGATTGATGTGGTTCAGATTTTGTGGCTCGGATAATTTGCATGTCATTTTGATTTCTCCAGAAAGTGCGGCGCTCAAGGACTATGGTCCATCAGTAATTATTAGAATAACATTCAGAATGTTTCGATCTGTAGCCGAAAAAGCAAAGCGGAGGCCAATATCAGAGGTCAGACGTTTCGGACTACATATGACCCAGATGTACTTAACGGACATGGTAGTGTGCATCTCCAATGTTTACAAAATTTGCATTTCCCGGATGTGCAGTTTAAGCAAACAAAATATTTGGCCGAATTCCACATTGAAGGTTATTGTGTCCCAAAAACAAAACAAACAACAATACAAGGTTGGCCGCGAAGTCCGTATAACGCTATACAAGGAAGTGCACTTAAGTTTGAAGCGGATTTCTATGTAATTAACCTCTTCGCCACCATGATCTCGTTTAAAGGGACACATGCGCCAATCAGCCAAGCCAATCAGCGATATTGTCCACAGCTCACCGTCGAAATTTGAGCGTTCAAATCCATGTGTATCCAGAATTAATCACGTTTGAATGTTATATTAAGAGACATTTTGTGAATATCCGTTGATGACGTCATGTGTATACAGTAGACTCAATCATCCTGTCATACTTC